AGAGAGAGAGAGAGAGAGAGAGAGAGAGAGAGAGAGAGGGACAGAGAAAGTCGGAGAGAAACAAGCAATAGTCCAACGTCAAAGTCATTTCTGCCACTTTAGTGCCACCTGGTGGCATAAAGTCCCGATGGCCCGGAACACACCTTGGCCAACCTTTGCTAAATAAATGTAAGTGGGTGAAAAGCTAGAGGCTTCAGCGCGGAACATGAAAGTGAGACCAGAAGACACACAAATAAACACTGGAGTTTGAAATCTTTTTAATAACTTGTCAAGTGTTTCTTGGTTTACACCTACATGATTTAGGAAGAGCGAGAACATTTTAAGAAGAAATAAGTTAGAAAGTTTAAATATGAATATTGAACTTGAGAACAATTCAGGAAAACACGTTCATACCACACTCGGCCACGGACAGACCAGGGCCTGAGGTTATTTTATTACAGAAAGTAACCGGTGCCATTCACTAACAAATCAGTTCACAATACCTTCTCCCCTGCATCAGAGACCGCCAAGTCGGCTCCCACACCCTGGGTCCCAGGATCCACATCCCAACAGCCTCTTCCTTCTGTCCCTTCTGTGACTAGTGCTGGAAGCAGGCCGTTGAGACAGAAACAAAAAGGACATCATCACACATCAGCCAGCGCACTGGGCTCTCTGTACACAGCTGACACATCATTCCCAATAACAGACATCATAGAGTCACACGTATCGAATGCTCTCGTGTGAGGTGCTAAAGTAGCGCTGAGCAATGCAGAGCCCTGCCCGCAGGGAGCTTACACACTAATAAACACCGAGCTGGCAAATGGCATCAGTTACCACCACCTTTCCATTTTTCTTCTTTCCTTGCAGAGAGGTGTTGGTGTGATTGATGGTGGCGATACCGAGAGGGCAGATTCTCCAACTCACTTTCACTGAATAGGAAAAAGCCGCCTGGGGAGGGTGATATTGGAAATAGGCCCCGTGGAGCAGCGAGGGCTGGCAGGCCGGGATCCAAGGACAAGGTCTGCACAAGGCTCCCCGGTGGCCGGCACAGGAGCCGCAGACCACAAACAAGGCTTAGAGGAGGGAGTCGGCCACGGCGGGCGCAGAACAGCTTTCTGAGCAGGCGCGGGTGCTAACACTTCATGGCCTCACCTGTCTCTGTCTCCAACTAACTGATTTTTAAAAACAATTTCCAAATGGATCTTTTTCTCACAACTCTTGTTTATGCTCTAAATGTTTAATACTGTAACTACTGTATGTTTAACCTAAAAACACGGAAATATTTCTAATCCAGAAATATTTTTAAGCTCCACCTACAGATTTCACTCCATTCATTAAATCTCTGTTGGCGGGATTTTATTTCCTTGCCCAGGTGAATTTGGTTAAACTCACACTATGCTTGCACTACACTGATTAAACTAGACCTTCCAAAGCCCGTTCACACGTAGAGTTTCATTAGAAACAGGACCCCGATGAAATAGATATGTTGCGACACTGTTTGTAATTTTCCCCCAGTGCCATTCTGAAACTTTATTTCTGATAAAGGAAATACTTTTTTTCTCTTTGTTTAAGTGAGAGTCCTCTATATGGACTCTCACTAATGGAGAAGTTTTTGTTTAAGCAGAAACTACTTCAAATTCTACCAGCTAAAAATTAAGTTCATTTTACCCAAGCTAGTTAACACTGTTCATGTACAGTGAAGGGACATTTTATAGAGACTTTTCTGTCACTAAAAACTGGTTCCACTATTGGGTACTATTCTTAACTCTTAGAGAGATGCCAAAGGCATTACCTAAAGAATTAGCCACCCTCTCTCTCCCCCGCCACAGGAACGAGGACCATCAGATGGGAAAGGCAGCTGGTGGTGGGTCCAACAAAGGCAGAAGAATGGAACATAGGCGAGGCCCCTCTGGCCCCGTGTTCAGTTTCAGAGGGGACAAGCGGCTCTGCAGAATTCTACAGGGAGCAGACTACTCATCCACCTGGCTGGGGTCCTGAGGACTGAAAACTGAGGGCCTGGCTAGGTCTGTAAACTCAGGCTGACATGGGCCTTGGAAGGACACAGTCCTCAAAGTCACCCCCAGAACTGCCCCTTCAGGTACAGCCCCTCACTTAGGGATGGTATTTTGTCCTCATGAACTTCACAAAGAGAATCAAACTCTTGAGGCACCGTGTTCCAGTCCAGCCAGAGCTGAAGGGGTCTTTGGGGTGCATGACCCCACCCCTCCTCTACATGACTCCTGCTATCAGGCCACCGTGAACAGCCTCTGGTGTGCAGGGAGAGAAGGTGCGACCGTGTGCTCTGAGCAGCCGCNCAGGTGTCCCGGGTGTCCTGGAAGATACGGATGCCGATAGGGAGGACCTTCAGCCCTGGTGTGCAGGGAGAGAAGGTGCGACCGTGTGCTCTGAGCAGCCGCCCAGCCGAACAGAGTCCCTCCCAGCTGTCCCCGGGTGAGTCTGAGGGCAGCCGACCCCTACGTGTATTTTTAGGTGGGGCTTCCTCAGTGGCATAACAAGGCTCTTCTTTAAAGAGGAAATCACCCAGGGCAGTAAACTCCCCTGATGAACCTGGGCTGTGTTGAAATGAAAAACATGCGCACGTTCTGAAAACAGAAACCCAGGATTAGATAAGGCAGAATTTAAGAGGGGACAATAATTATTGATGCTAGTAAAAAAAAAAAACTGCATAGAATTTTAAAAACTGCACTGCTTCCATATATCTTAATTAGCCACGGGTGGTCTGCAGAGACATTCTAGGGCAATCGAATCCTCACTTCTAGCTACGAAAGACATGCGAGCCCTGGCGGGAGTGAGGTTTTTACCACCTGAGCATAATAAAAAATATAGTTGTAAATATCTTTTTAATGCTCATGCTCTTGTTTCAGTAACTTTTGGAAAATTAAATATTTAGCTTACCACTACACATATAACAGTATAATTAGGTTCAGAGAAATTACATAAATCAATTTTCTACATTCCATCTTTCTGTATTTAACAATATTGAAGGTTTTAATAAATGAAATCTGTCCCGACCCGAAGTGTATGACTACACTGATCAAGAATCTTTTGGCACTTCTGCTGTTGTCTTTTTTTTTTTCTTTCAGTTTCCTTTTGAAGTTTTTTTAAACTGAATTTATTAGGGTGACACCGTTAATAAAATTATATAAGTTCCAGGTGTACAATTCTACAGCACATCATCTGAATACTGTACTGTGTGTTCGCCACCCCAGTCAGCTCTCCTTCCATCACCATTTCCGCCCCTTTACCCTCTCCTACCCCCACCCCCTTCTGTCTGGCAAATGCCTTTCTGAGTATGTGGCTTTTTGAGTGAAGGTGGGGAAAAAAGCAATAAGTAAATCAATGAGAAGAGTTTTCCAGGTAGCAGGATGAGCTAGTGCAAAGATCCCAGGGCTGGGGTGGGCCTGGTGTTTTCAAGGACCAGAGACAATGCTGGAATAGAGGCCTCAGACGTTTGCCTGAACCTCTGAAGTCGAGTCTCTTTTTTTGCCTATCACCTTGATTGATCAACTCTATCAGTTCTCTTTGCTGTGACTCTTGAGTTACAAAAACCAGGACTGCAAAGAACCATTCTGGTTTCCTGTAAGAAACAGTAACTCTTAGAATTTAGATCTTCCCCCCGCGTAGCTGAGTATGTTTTATGCATCCGCCTATCCCCAAACCCACTCCTCCCCAGCGATTTTATAGCGTAAGTTTTCCTTAAGGTTCACACGGTTTGGAACGGTCTTGTTCTCTTCACATTGCATATTCTACTATCAGTGTGANGTGTGGTACTTGTCTTTCTCCGACTGGCTTATTTCACTTAGCAGAATACTCTCCAGGCCCATCCACTGCTTCTAACCACACCACCAGACTGCCCACGTGTGCGTGTGTGTGTGTGTGTGTATGTGTGTGCACATGTGTGTGTTTGTGTTTGTGTCTGTGTGTGTCTATGTGTGTTTATGTGTGTGCTTGTGTGCCTGTGTTTGTGTGTGTGTGTCTGTGTATGTGTGTCTGTGTGTGTTTGTGTGTGTGTCTGTGTGTGTTTGTGTGTGTCTGTGTGTTTGTGTGTCTGTGTATGTGTGTGTGTCTGTGTATGTGTCTGTGTGTGTTTGTGTGTGTCTCTGTGTGTGTGTATGTGTGTCTGTGTGTGTCTGTGTGTGTTTGTGTGTGTGTGTATGTGTGTCTGTGTACGTGTGTGTGTCTGTGTATGTGTGTCTGTGTGTGTTTGTGTGTGTGTCTGTGTGTGTTTGTGTGTGTCTGTGTATGTGTGTGTGTCTGTGTATGTGTGTCTGTTTGTGTGTGTCTCTGTGTGTGTATGTGTGTCTGTGTGTGTCTGTGTGTGTTTGTGTGTGTGTCTGTGTGTGTCTGTGTGTGTCTGTGTGTGTGTGTGTGTGTGTGTATGTGTGTCTGTGTATGTGTGTGTGTCTGTGTATGTGTGTCTGTGTGTGTTTGTGTGTGTGTCTGTGTGTGTTTGTGTGTGTCTGTGTGTTTGTGTGTGTCTGTGTATGTGTGTGTGTCTGTGTATGTGTGTCTGTTTGTGTGTGTCTGTGTATGTGTATGTGTGTCTGTGTGTGTGTGTGTGTGTGTCTGTGTGTGTTTGTGTGTGTCTGTGTGTTTGTGTGTGTCTGTGTATGTGTGTGTGTCTGTGTATGTGTGTCTGTGTGTGTCTGTGTCTGTGTGTGTTTGTGTGTGTGTCTCTGTGTGTCTGTGTATGTGTGTGTGTGTGTGTGTTTCCACTCTTCTGAGTTCTATTTTCTCCACTGATGCAGAGGAGATTACGTTAAACGCCTTGTTCTCTAATGAACTACAGGGGCCCTTTCTCAAAAAACCCCAAAAATGTTGAAAAGTTCTTTCAAAAATGTATTCAATCGGTTATATCAAAACTGAGACAGTACGTTTGGGGGCGGCACAAGCTTGTGGGGCAGCAGAGCCGTGGAACCCACCCGCCACT